TAGCTTCTTGTTACTACTAGTAAGGCACCTGTTACTAGTAGCGATGCACTTGTTCCTAGTAGCTTCTTGTTACTACTAGTAAGGCACCTGTTACTACTAGTAAGGCACTTGTTACTAATAGCTTCATAAGCTTGGTTGGATTTGCTTTGCGTTTTACGAATTGGTTCTAGGAACTGGACAAGAGCCAGCTGCTTTGGGCAGCGCTCAGCGATAGCAATGTCAGAATTTGCATGGCGGGTGTGACATGCGCCCTTTGCGTCAGAATCTGAGTCGCAGGTTGGAGTTCCTGAAAAAGAACTCCTGAGGGCCCCCTGAACATTTGTTTCGTTCTTTGTTACTTTTTTTGAACTGTAGTTTGGTTTCTGAGTAACATAGAGTTTCTACTATTACTTTTTCGAGAATGCTCACTTTGTAGAGTTTTGTTGACTTAGGTGGTGGCCATCATTCAGTTTACGCAGTCTGAGGAAAAGTCTAAAGGCACGGTGCTTTTTTGGCTTCACAACATGTGCAGGACTTTTGCTTCTAGGTTGGAGGCCATCGCTCTTAGGTTCCTTTTCCAACCAAAAGTGCAGGACTTCTGCTTGGCATTTTCAGTAACAAGGTTCGCTACTACTATATAGGGGGCTCCTGGCCTTACTACGAAGGGAGCGATCGGACGCGACTCGAACGGAGCCTGCTCCGTTGCAGGATCCTGAAAGAAGGCGTGCGCCGGCCGGGCCCGTGGGGCCGGCCGAATTCGGAAGGTGGAACCAAGCCAACCAAAGCTCCCACCAAGCCCCAGATGTGCCACTTGGACAGCTGTGGCGAGTCCAAAAATTCGAAGCGACAGCAGCGCACGAGAAGTGTCTCCAACTTAAGAGCGATGGCCTCTAACCTGGAAGTGTTTGTTTTAGCCGAGCTGTGTTTTGACAAGTTATCGGAATGGCACCGTATGTCTTGGTTGTCCCCGTGCAACGTGTGGCTTGGCACACTCAGTGGCTCAAGTCAAACACATTAGCAAAGAGATGGAGGTGCTTTGATGTGAATTTCTGCATGTTTGCCATTCCAAACTTCTCAGCAGACAGAAATTGCAACGGACCCTGTCAACACGGTTGAAATAGGATCGACATCTTTTCGGGTAAAGAAGAACGCTGGTGGTTCCACCTGCTGATGATGCAACATCCCTTGAGCCAAATTCAAGTGCAGAGGCCAGCTAGACACCAGAAAAGAGACGTGAAACTGCTCAAGTTTGAGAAGGTTGACCGCTTTCATGACCCAACAAAAACACGAAAAAAAAGAGAAGAAAAGACAAACAAACAGAAACAAACACTGTACTTCATCTCTTTCATGACCAAGTCTTTTTCTGCCTCCATGACCCTTTCCGAAACTCGTATCTCTCGTATCGTGCCTCGTCTCTCGCCTCTCGCCTCTAGGCGTCGGGGCAGTGAACAGAATGCCTCCACGCGGCTGCTGCTGCGTTTGTGCCGCCTGCGGATAGGACCTCGAGGCAATAGACGAAAGACGTAGCGCTCTGAGGTTTGGAGGCCATCGCTCTGAGGTTTGCGAGTAGAGATTCACGTGGTTCATGTGCTGAAAATCCATCCCTTTGAGTTGAAGACCGGTTCGCCCTTTGGTGCGGTCCGCTGTGCAGATGTAGTTACCTGTGCCAGGTATGGGTTTCTTTCTTGCTCCGATCTTGGCGTCTCAATTGGACTACTCGGAGAAGACGCGGTGCACCAAAGTTGCACCTTGGTTTTTCGAACTGATTTTGGCCTGTGCATCGCTCTTAGGTTGGAGGCCATCGCTGCTAGGTTGGAGGCCATAGTCAACCATAGTCATTTTGGCCTAAGCCAAATGGTTTCCGCTTGTACAGCTGGACGCGGCTTAGGCCAGAGGGCTGGTGCATCGAGGTCGTTGTTACGAGGTCATCTACGACGAGTTCGGAGGGCCAAAGGACATGGGTCAACTGCTGGTGAAACCCTTCGGAGCGTGTGGCCCTCCCAAAGCGAGTGACTCGACCTGAACATGACCTTTTGGATATAGGCAAGGCAGGTACTGGGCACAAGTAGCGATGCCTTTTGTTCCTAGTAGCTTCTTGCTACCAATAGTGCCAGGGGCTACTAGTAGCGTCCTTGCTACTAGTAGCGATGCCCTTTGTTCCTAGTACTCTTAGTGTTATATATATTATATTACATATATATATATGTGATCGAGGGTCCTTTAGGTATCATTTCGTAAAAAGAAACAAACACA